GTGCCCAGTACTAGTGCTGGTGTTTGCACGGGGGGGGTGAGTGCCCAATACTAGTGCTGGTGTTTGCACGGGGGTTGAGTGCCCAGTACTAGTGCTGGTGTTTGCACGGGGGGTGAGTGCCCAGTACTAGTGCTGGTGTTTGCACGGGAGTTGAGTGCCCAGTACTAGTGCTGGTGTTTGCACAAGTACATAAGTCAGCGAGGCGGCCCAGCGCGTGAACATTGCGGGATAAGCCCCTGGCTACATTAAACCTGCGGCTTCACTAGCTGCGCTGTCCCCCCTTGTCCTAGCAGGGCCGGAGACCTGCTCCCCCCTTAGCGACAACAACAGAGAGTCAGAAATTCCCCCGCCCGCCCCAGGGATTCCCAGCCTGTTCCCGCGCCAGCCCCCAAACACCCCCTACCGTGAGAAGAGATTTGGCCATGTCCTTGGTATCGAACTGCAGCAGGTTCCCCAGCAGGGGCAGCGGGCGGGGGCCCGGGGGCAAACACCCCCCCTTCCGCTGGCCCTTCCCGCGGAGGTAGAGGACCAGGCAGGAGAGGCCGAGGAGCAGCAGAAGCAGCGTGGCCGCGGTGATCTCCATGTCGCTCGCTCGGGCGCGGGGGGAACAAGGTGCTCCTGGTTGCACTGGCACCGAATGACTTTTCGGGTGCCCTGACGACTGACTCTTCAGCAGGGAAAGGGGCGGGATTCGGAGCCGACTGACTCGCCTGCCGGGCGGGCGGGGCCCAGGGCTCCGTGCCAGCTGCTGTCAAGCCGAGCGGGCGTCCCTTGCCCAGGTGCGCTCTGGCAAGGAGGCTGAACACGATGGAACGGGGATTTCGCAGCCCACTCTGAAGCCAGGCGTTGAGCAGGGGTGGCTTGGCATGGCGTGGTACCCGCTTGGAAGGTCTTTGGCACGTACGCCCCCAGCTGAGGCCTAATCAGCGCGGAGCAGAGCGGAAGAATGACTGCTCGTGTCTGCCTGACAACACTCCCGCTAATCCAGCCCAGAACGATGGTCGCTTTTTCTGCAACAGCGTCACACTGTTGACTCATATTTTTGGCCAGCCACTCTGACCCTAGCTCCCTTTCCAGGCAGCCCTTTCCCATTGGGTGTGTGCAACTGATTGGGCCTTCCTAAGGGGAGCACTTTGCATTTGTCCTGATTCAGTTTCATCCTGGTGACTTCTGACCATTTCTCCAGCTTGTCCAGAGCATTTGGAATTTGAATCCTCTCCTCCAAAGCACTTGCAGCCCTCCCAGCTCGGTATCGTCCGCAGACTTTCTCCGTGAGCTCTCTGGGCCGTTCTCCACCCCGACAGAACCAGAGACTTGCCTCCCTTCCCAGTGTCGTGCAGGGAGCAGGGTCATTGTGCGGCACTAAAGTCAGCGGGGCTGGTGGGCGCAGGTAGGTGGCAGGGCCGTCCTTGGGCATAGGCCAAATACCCGCTGCGTAGGGCACTGGAAAATTTGGGGCACTCCTGGGTCTTAATGTCCCCCCCGTCCCCCTCTTCCTATCCCTGTTCTGAGCCTTCCTGCAGGCTCCCACACCTGGCTGAGGCCTGGTGACTCTTCCTCGGAAGGGATCTGGTAACTTCAAAGCCTCCAGCCTGCCAGGCCTCTTAGCTCAGCACTGAAACTGTTGAAGAGCATTCGAGGGGTAATGAAGCCATTTGCCAACCCCAGGGATGTACTGTCACGTTCTGAATTTACTGACAAAACCAGCTATGCCGGACTGTCATCTTTACTCCAAACAGGTCAGTCTACACGACCTTCCTTTCAAATTTGCTTTAAAGAAGATTAGAAAATCACATCTCTACAATATCCTTGCACAGACTTTTAGATACACAATGTGAGTATTCATCGTTAGCCTTAAAGGCTTCGATCGTCGGACATAGAGTTTTTTAAATAAATCCTTCAAAAGACCCCCCCGATCTAAAATACACATTTTAATTGTAATTACTATAGTACAAAAACTTGCTTCCAAAGTCTTCCTGTCCTTTCTGTCCATCCCTTTCTCCCTTCACCCCCTGCCCCTGCCCCTTGAAGAGAGCCCTTAAAGGGACCGCACCCCTTTCCTGCCAGATAGCTGGACAAAGAGTTCCCCTTTCTTTACATCTGACTCTCTGATGAACTAGTTTTAAGCGACCCTCCAGCAACAGCCGGACCTTAGTAAGATAGAAAATCCTTTGTGATGCCTAAAATCTTCGGACACATATTTCTGAAAGTTGGTGAAATTTCATAAACACGTCTGTTGTTCTGGAGATCACCCCCAGTAAATTCGTGTCCCTTTTTCCAAAAGCAACAACCATTGTTCTGAACACACTAAACCTCTGCGACTGATTGATTTACAATCATGGCTTTGCTTCAGTGAGTTAAATATGTAGTCATCTGCAATGAGAACTGAATGAAGGCTTAAGAGTACATTTAAAATATACAATCAGTTTAGAAATACTGATTACGAAAATGTCAAACAGAGACGAGCTGCGTCCCGTATTCCAGCCTATTGAATGCTGGATTCAGCAGGACGGCTGACTCGCCCTTACTGCAACGTTTTTGCAAATAAATCTCTGACAAACTTCAGGGCAGATCAAAACACCTGTGCCTGACATTTTTCATTCCCAAATGTAGTGCTTTCAATTAGGAACCTTCTGCATGTCCATTCTGCGTGAGGGAGGGTCCGGGGGTTTCTGCGGGGAACTGGGACTCTCTGCCACGGTGAGGTGAGCCGGGCGTCTCGCTATCATTTGCTGCCTTGCCCCCCCCACCCCCGCCGGGCTGCGAGCCCAGGCTGCCGTGGGACATAGGGGCACCAGTTTCATAATACTGCGTAGGGCCCCATAAATCCTAAGCACGGCCCTGCTAGGTGGGGTCAGGGGATCAGCCCCTGACAGTATCTGCGCTGCAGAGAGATAATACTCGGCTTAATCTGCTGGGTGGCGAAGCCATAAGTAGCTAATAACTAACCACTGCTTGAGCCACAGAAATGCTCTGGATTGACAACTGTTGGGTAACTAGTCACTGCTGAAACTGAGGCATCATAGCAATGCTGAGGTTGATTTTTTTTTAATTCAGTGGTGTGTTTCATAGCCCCTCTAGTGCTAATAAAAGGGGAGATTCCCCAATACCGCAAACTGTGGGCTTGGGTATAGTGCCCCAGCCTTAGCTGTTTTCCAGGATCCTGAGGCCAAATAACCCAGGTAACTGGGCATCCAACTCACCCTCCACCCCCACCCCACCTGCAGGCATCTGTCCCTGTCATTATCCAGCCCATGGCCATTAGATGCAGTCAGGGGCCCAACGCCCTGATCAGAACTGCTAATCTGCCCGGGATCCACCTGCGATCTGAGGCCTGGTGCTAAGGGGGAGTGGCAGGTGATGGAGAGTCACTCCCATGGTGGATTTTCCAGGGGAGCTCCGCCCCCCCCAAACACACACACACACACACACACACACACACACACACACA